AGATAAAATACATTATCATGTGAGTTTCGATTTTTGTGATTCTGTGTTTGTAGTCGTTTGTTAATGTTGGCACAATGATTATATATTATTTATTGGGTATAAACCTTTTGAGCTCTGAATGAGTTATGGTTTATGCCATTATTGTAATGGGTGTGGTCACAAAAGAAAAATTTTATAGGGTAACTTTTCCATGGCCTATAGCAGGAAGCGTGATTGCATATTTGTTTTATGAGATGCTTAGTAGTAGTCAGGCGGGGCCTGCCTCTCGCGGAAAAACGGAGAGTCAGGTTCAGTACGGTAGCTAGTTTTGTGTCAAGCGCAGGATTTCTGCGCTAGCAGGAAATGAGTCACAATGACCCAAATAACACCCACACAAGACATGAATAACATTATCATAAATTATTTTAAAATGGATGTAAAGGAAATGGTGTTTAGAAAGCTGAACTATGTCTTAAAGGAGGAGCAGTTGGCAGCTATCAAGGCTTTTCTCGAAGGAAGAGATGTTCTTACTGCATCTCTAACATTATCCAAAGCACTACTTTCGAGCTTCGTCAGTTTCGAAAAAACTGACACACACGGACGGCAAAACTATGATGATTTATGTTTAGTCAGTAGTTCGTCTAAGTCAAAATCAATATCATTCTCGGCAACTTGGTCCATAAAATGCTTCCTCCAAACATTTATCACATCTCTGCACCTTTCTGCTGCTGGATCACATCTGTTTTTGCTCTCTTTGCTTAAGTCTTTACCACAGCCTAAACATACAACGACGGTCATGTTTACACGCGTATGGGCGGTGCTCATTTTCAGCCCCACCTATATGCATGCTGTCAGCTCCACCCGTGACACAAAACTAGCTACCGTACTGAACCTGACTCTCCGTTTTTCCGCGAGAGGCAGGCTCCGCCTGACTAGGAGAGGTATGAGAGGGGTAATGTAAGCAAAGGTACAAGTAACAACTATAGTGAAGCTAATTGAATAGGATAACATAGCAAGGTACTTTGGTAAGAAAAGAGAAGATGACGATCATACTTATACCTGGAAGTGATACTTAAAACCTTTCAAGAGACTATCATGAGACTGAAGAGTGAGGATAATCAGGACATGCCTTTTCATTAAGAAAGTACAATTCACAGACCTTGAAATGGACTACTAAGTAACTCACGGCCCATGATACAGTGAGACACAATAGTGGCATAGATTACAGAGACATGGAGGAGTGACATCTTTCAGCTATTACTGCAGCACAAATAAAGCTTGAGATACAAGACCTCAGTGACAGATTAAAGATTTAAAGACAATTTTTTCATTTCACTTCACAATGACAATTGTCAGTCAAGTCAACCACACCTATTTCAAGATGGTATCAATGAAATGCTCTTGTTTGAGGCTGTTTTTGTGCTTCAAGCTACAGAAGTATGCAGACTACTACACAACATACGAGGGTCAGGCCAGCCTCGAGCCACAAAGATCATTCACTGAATGCAAGTGAGTACAGCCGTGGTTTTGTTGATATTTTTGTGGGTTCATTCTTGGTAGGCTGGATTTGTTTTTCTCCATAGATTGTGTACAATAAGTCATATACAATGTACAATTATGCTTATACCTGAATAAAGTTCTACATGTGTGCGTCTATTTGAGTTTCCCACAGGATGTGGCATAGTGCTTGTTCTTGTCAACGGATTGGCAAAAACACTTTACTTAGTACAGATTTTTTGACAGAAATAACCAGGAGAGATTTCTCCAATTATATACATTGTTTGAGCTAATTCTGAAACCCGAAAATAGCAAGTTAAAAGAATATTGCACTGATATAGATTTACCAGTATAGTGTCAGCAGGTAGTACAACGATAGTCTCACGTAGCCAGACCCAACCCCTTTTTGATATTTGGACGGCGTCCAAATGTCAAAAAGGGGTTGGGTATACGCGAGACTAGTACAACGAAGGAGATATAGCCAACAATATGGATACTGAATCAACACTCCACAACAGCAACAATAATCAAAAAGAGAGAGAGAGCAAGAGAGAGTGTGTGCTTATATTAGAGAATGATGTTCTAGAATGTTCTGTTCAGGCAAGCCTGTGTCAGTATATATTGTGTAATAGTATAGTGTTAACAAGGTATGAAAATGTGATTGTATGGTAAAGGCATGCATGAGACATAAGTACTAATAATTAATAAATGTAACTGAACATACATTAAAATCTGCTCAAATCAGGCCAAAGTTCCTGTACTACATGTATATTACAGGGTCTTTTAACCAAATTTTGCCAAAAATGGCTAGGAGAGAATTTCCTATTTTTATAATTTGTTCTGATACATATGCATGTACCAATATTGTGTAGAAAGTTTGAACTGATTCCGATCAAGTTTGAATTTTTTTATCAATTTTAAAAGTTGCTCACAAATTTGGCCAAACTCTAGAAATTTTGGTCAAATTTTGTTAAAAATGAAAGGAGAGAATTCTTTGTTTCAATAATTTTTTCTGATACATATTTTACTTCTGTTGTGTAGAAAGTTTGCAAATTGGATTTTTAATGAATTCTTGAATTTGTTCAAAAATTGGGCCAAGTTCCCTGTACAAAATCCTTGGCCAAATTTCACCAAAACTGAAAGGAAATTTTTTTAATTTTTAGACTTTTTATGATGCATATAAAATATACTTATGTTCTGTAGTATGTTCAGGCTCATTCAAATCCAAAGTGGATTTACTTTGGATTTTTAAAATTAGGTCAAAGTCCTTGTATAGTACAGACCCAATTTCACCAAAAATGACTGAGAGAAATATTTATTTTTAAAATTTTTGTTTACAAATGTGCATTTGTATAATATGTAGCAAGTTTGAGCTGATTGATTTTTAATGAGTTTTAAAGTGACCCCAAAGCATACTATTGTACTGCCTATCAGCTCATGAAGCATTCTTTTTGAGCTTGTTTAGCATGCTTTGTGGGAAACCTTGAATCTTATTAGAATTCTTTTTACTCTATATATAAGTGCATTATATCAATTGAGTTCTTGTGGCTTGATTTGAAATGAATGTTTTTATAACTACAAAGATTTATAAAGCATCTTGTCAGGCCCGCTGAGAGAAGACATGGGGCCTAGGGGAAGATTAAAATTAGGGGCCCTTTGCAATAATGAAAAAAAATACAAATTAAATGACAAGAACTACCAATGCTCAAATATGACTGAAAATTGATTGACTGACTTAGGAACACTAGCAATTAAAAGCAAACTTGCAGAACAGCTAAATTTTGATTATATCATAAATCATTTTGCTAGTTTAAAAACCAGGCACATGTTTAATCATGTATAGAGGATATGCGTGCTAAGTATATTCATTGCAAAATAAATGTATTCATTGCAAAATAAATGTATTCATTGCATACTGTAATAACTTTCAAGAAAAAAATTAGTTCGTTGGGCGTCAACTTTCCATTGGCAGCAATGGAGAAAAGATAGAAAAAGGCTTGGTACCAGGAAACCGCTATGTATTTCTTGATAGCAATCTTTCAGGTGACTACTAGACCCCATTGGATCCTCAGGATGCTTTCTAAGCTTCCGAAAAAGGCCTCAAGAAGGTAGCAAGGCAAGAAAATGTGTTTTCTCCCATTGAACTCTTAATGAACTTGACATCCAACATGGCTGCCAGTTTACTGTGTGGGTTGGATATACGGTACTTAAAAGCTATGAATATACTTAGCATGCATATCCTCTATTAAATGATGGCTTATTATACTTCAATTATAATGTACATTATAATGGGGCCCCCTGAAGTGAGGGGCCCAGGGGATTTATCCCCTACTCCCCCCTCTCAGTGGGCCTGCGTCCTGTACATACTTTCTTGTAGGTTACCCATACAAAAAATATCAAGTTTGCAGCATGGTTGTGACTTGTGACAAGGTTGTTGCTAATTAGTTTTTGGTTTTCACTACATTGCCACAACCTTGTGAAATATTATATTTGCCCCAACTGTACTACTGAGTAATGTATGCACATGTAATTCATGGGACTTTATGTGCATGTACATTTCTATTGCAATGTAATTAAGGATTTCTCCTTTTGTAGGTAAAAGCTTTTCGTAAAGCATTTTCTGAGGCCAGTGTGGCTCTTAATGAGCCTAAAGTTAAAACTGTAATGCCTTCTCCTGGTCAATTAGCAAAATAAACATTGTACTTCACTTCACTTCTCTATTTTCTGTATAAAATGAATTCATTCCAGCTATGTTAATAATCAAATGAGCCTACTCTTTTTTTCCGCTGTTAGTATAGATTCCATTAACATCAAATGTATCATAGTAACAATAGTAACTGAGTATAGAGTAATTAGGTGATTGATTAAATTTCACGGTAACGCTACTACTGAATTAGGTGATTGATTAAATTTCACGGTAACGCTACTACTGAGGCAAGCTTGTCATAATGTGCATGATGAATTTAATAGAATAATAATACACACAAAATATTATTTTTTTACTGACAGAAAATTAATGATATCGACAGCATATGTAAGTGCTAGACTGCTAGACAATGGGTCATATTGGGGCACACTTCATGAAACCTCAGTTTTTATCAGCCTTTATAAGGTTGTCATTTTACTTATGGTTTAGTAATTCACGACTTCATGAGATTGTTACTAGGTTGCTACAACCTTGTGAGGTTGTGGCAACTTTGGCATTTTTCTATAGGTACATGTATTTAGTTTCTGTTAATTGTCTGTTTTTAAATTTATATTAAGTTGCAATTGAAACAGGATTTTTACTCATTGTATGATCAAACTGAATGGTGAAATGTAGTCACAATGTTCATATATGTACATATATACACATACTTACGTTAAATTAGGGTGGGGTTCAGTATAACATTATTCATAAACTGTTATTCTATATATATCTAATGAATATCTGCTGTTTCTTAGCAATCAACAATGAAGCTTCTTACTTGCTTCTTTCTTCTGTTTCTTCTTGAGTATGCAGTTTATGCTCAAACATGCACTAATGGTGCAGTACGATTGGTAAGCTTTTGCTATATTGTTCTTATGGTCATTTTTATTATGCATATTAGACTTCTGGTTCTACTTATGGAGCTGTTGAAGTG